AAAAATCAGAGGAGAGGTGGCTTTTACAGAAAGCTTGCCAACATTTTTCATGGGCTTTTAGCACTTAGAATTTTCTTTTCTAAGAGTGCCGATACAAAGAGGCATTTTTGTGAATAGGGATGGTAGGCGTTTTCTAATTCAACTGATTCCTGTTTGTTTTTAAATCTAACAAAATCTGTAAAAGTTTCAAACTGGTCACATGGGGTTTTTTTGGTTGTTATCATGGTGACTGTATTTTACCTGGGTAGTCTGTGCATATCCTTGAGTTGGCTGAGCTGCATATGCAGTATAGCTATGAAAAGAAAACAAGATATTTGAAGGTTTATAAAACAAAAGCCATGGTTAAAGAAAGTGAGTAAAATGCATCACTTCTGATGCAAAGTAGAAGCAAAGCTCTTTATACAACTCTGCAATGTCAAAACTGATAATACATTAGAAGAACTCTAATCCGCGCTTTCTTTACATAACAGATTATTATATATAGAAAAACACACTTACCCCTGCTGGGCAGCTGCTTGACTGTAGGTACTATAATCTGCAGATGGTAAGAAGACAAAATCAAGAGTAAGACCAAAAAAAAAAATCACTGTAAAGCAACTTAGTCTAAAATCTAGTTTAACTTTTCTCTTCAGAATAAAGGTCTTAAGAACTCTTCTGAGAGGAAACAGCTTATGCTAATATTCACCAGAAGACCAATTAAAAGAATTACTATTATAGAAGCAAAATGCAAGTAGCTTTTATATAGTGCAGTCAGATTGTAATTTTTGTGAAACTGAAATGCTAAATAAATGAAATAAAATTCTACTACATCTCAGTTGATTTTGGCAGTATGTTTGTTTTGATATATGTGGGTTTTTGTTTTCTTCCAGTGATTGTTCATGGTTTTTTTGGGGGGGGGCATAAATATGAGGCATGGTTCTTCTGTAAAGCATGTACTTGAGAATCGTTATTGATTTTATAATGCATTCTGGCTATGCCTCTAGCCAATGCCTTACCAACTTCCATTCACAGAAGTGGTATTTTCTGTGTGTGATTTTGAGAAGGTAGAATGTGATTGTATTGGATTCTTCTTCTTTATATTTAGGGAAGTACAACCCCCTCAATTAAATTTGTTGCAAAATAACAAAACTATCTAAAGAGTACCCATTCTACAACTAAATGAGATATCAATTAGACAACCAATTGTGGGCAATTATAAACAATTACCACCAATTCTACTCCACATTCCTGCAACGTATCTGAAGATTTCAGAGTTATCACCAATTGCAGAAATTATGCAAAGGCATAATTTCTACCAGTAAAACCGCTAAAATACTAGATTTAGACCTAATTTTTAACTAAACACAATAGAATGGGATAGCAAATTTAAGAATGCTACTACCTATGGCATTTGTAAATGCAGAATGTAAATTCACTTTGTAGTTATCAGAATAACTGTATCCTTAACACGGAAATCATTCCTGAATTATAATTCCACTGATGTGCTTGTACCACATCTGAAGTTTGGGTTTCTCCTAATATAAGGTTTTAGCAAATTACTGTATAAAGAAAAATGTTAAGTAAGGATAGACTTCTTAGACTAGAAATTTACTGTTATCCATTCTTTTGGCTTATAATTCAAATTTATAGTGGTGACGACTATCAATTTTAAGTTAACTTGACTCTAGCACTGATTTGGAAGTTAAAATTGATGTAAGTTGTTTTAACATGCAGACTTAAATTAATGCAATTTTGAAATTTCTTATTCAATTTACAATGCTTGTAGATCCATTTTTAAGTATCTTTTTTCTCATGACTCAAATAAGTAACTATCTCATACCACAATCAGTTTAGTTTTGAGTTGTATCGAAAGAGCCTAATTGCATATATGATTCCATTTCAATAATACAATAAAAGTTTAAATTATTTAACCACTTTTAGTGCTTGTTCTCCTAGAAAGTTTTCTTCATTTAAAACATCTTATGTACAAGCACACACTGCAAATTAAGTACCATCAATGTTTATTGCCTTATTAATTATTTAAACAAAATAATCACAGCCTACAATGTGTTTTATTCCTTTCCTTCTCCATTTTGGGATTTGACTCATTAGTATTTTAAATTGACCCACATTTTATCATCAAGTGCAAAGCCATCTTGGTATAAAATTACAACAGCACTTTTTACAATTACCACACGTAGACCCACGCAAAATGCATAAGGCATCATTTTGGTTTACCTTAGTCAAGATTTATCTGCATTTTTGAAGGTGCAAATAAGAAATCTTCAGATATGCAACAACTTTCCAATTATATGCTTGTTGAATTATAAAAGCAAGTTAACATGAATGTAGTCTTCTCCACTGGCTAGCAAGCTATCCTTCTGAGTAGAGAGTGAAAGGCGCTTTGGCCATAGGTAACTAAGGCACATACCCATGAGCAACCTTAAAACAAGCTATGGCTATATTCAGCTGAAAGTTTCTATCAACCTGCATGAAGATGACATGCTGAACTGAAACAAACCACAGCCAAGGAGTTTGCCAGAGTTAGGGTTAGGCTAATCATTTGCATGTTTGCACTACAATATTTTATGGATAAATGTAACATCCTCTGCATTGGTTTACTGTGGCGCAAGCATCATGGGCATAAAAAAAGGCAAATTATATTACATGAGCTTGAAAGTGCAATATGTTTGATAAAGTATTTAGAGGGGATATCATCCTAGTCTCATTCAGAAATAGAACATTGCACAGCATCTCATTTTAAATACTATACAAGACATTCTAAATGCAAAAAAGCGCAACAGTGACTTGAACAGATAACCATCCACAAAGCTTTCTCAAGTCAGTTTCTCCCACTCAGACCTCTAAACTTGGATGGAACTACCTAATCTGATCCTGGAATACCACATTTTAGCCTGAGATAAAAATCAAATGTAATTCTTTTGCTTCTTAGTCTGCCAAGACTATAACAAAAAAAGTCTCTATGTATATTATTTTCAGGCATGTTTTCCTGCTTTATCAGGTAAAATATGTTATAATCAACAGTAAAATCTGTTTACATCCCATTTGTTTGGCTTTTCATTTTCTGTAAGGAGTCCCATACTGTCTCCCTTCCAGTTTATTGTACTTGATATGGATTAACAGTGTTTAAAATGGAACCTTTATTTAAAGAATTACAAGCTGCTTTTTTGGCTTACCCTACTAACATATACATGCACATGCATGTTGTACCCAGGTGGCCTTTACAAGCATCTCGTAATTCGTTCACCTATATAAACACAACAGTTAAGCCATTTTAAAGTCTCACTGAGGAAGGGAACTAAACAAGTGTTGCACCTAAGTCTCCAACAGGAATTAACAAGCCCTTCAGCTTGATCACGAGCATCCCCACTAATATGGTGCAGTGGCTTATTTCCAAGTGTACTATTTATCTTGACCTTTTAAACTGCAAAATTTTTATTGGATTATGCTGTATACAATTGCCTCTTTATATCCCCCCAGGACAATTTCCAGAGCTGAAGCCATATCAACCAGTTGCAGCAAGACCAAATGATTTTCTGATGCCTTGGAACTTAGCAAATTATACCCTTTAACTTTTGTAAACTAGGTGCAACTTCATGAGATGTAAATTGCTATCACTGGTTGCTTGGAGCAACAAAACTGAAAAAAGGTACTGCTAAAAATATTTTAAGAATGAACCATTTCCTTGGCTAAAAATAAGTTTCATTTTAACATGACTACTTCTTTAAAAAATTGCTTTAAAACTTTGGTAGGGTGCCTTGTGTTTTAGATACAACATCCATATTACTTATTTTCTTGCAGACCATTCTCAACAATGCAGAAAAACAGAGTATAAAGCATCAGCCAGCTCTGGTATTAAACGAAGGCAGTAAAATCAGAATCCAATCCTCTAAATCACTGTTTCCCAACCTTAGCAACTTTAAGATGCATGGACGTCAACTCCCTTGCTGGCTAGGGAATTCTGGGAGTTGACGTTCACACATCTTAAAGTTGTCAAGGTTGAGAAACACTGCTCTAAATTAAAGACAGCAACAAAAAGACTCATGCAGAGAGAAGATATTCAGCAATGTTTGCAAGATAAAGATCAAGGCAGGAAGGCAGAGCCAGGGCCAAAGAGGAAGAGCAACTGAAGATAAAACAAGGGTAGGCAATATAACAAACGCCAGGACAAAGCAGAATAGTCCTAACTGTGCTTCCAAAAAAGAATCAATGACTTCAATGACTCTGAGCCGAACGTGTTTTTTTTTT